TGCATGCCACTAGTTTCAGCTATCCAGGAAGGTATGGCTTTAGGTCAGAAATTCAAGGTCAGTCTAGACACCATAGCTATCAAAATGTCATTTCTTTAACAACTGAATTAAATACAGGGCATCTGTTGACACATGCCTCTAGTCCCAGCACTTGGGGCAGAACAGTGGGAGTCACAAGTTCAAAGCCAGCCTGAGCTGCTCAGTACACAGTAGTCTCCAAGCCAACAAAAGGAATTAGGAATGTTTCCAATTTTCTGGAAATAATTATATGAAGTTGGATAGAAAAATAGAATTTTTTCTTTGTTTTCTGTATTCTAGGAAAAATTGTGTGGAACTAGCATCATTGTTCTCTACCTATTTAGTTGATTTCACTATTGAAACTGTTTATCCTCAACATAGATTTTGCAAAAGATTTTTAATTATGTATTCAAATTTTTATAAATTATAAAACTATTGAAATTATTTTTTGTGTTGTGTTCATGGCTTTTGTCCAATTTTCTGAATTGTCAAATTCATCTGCACACCATCATTCCTAACATCCCTTTAGTGGTTTTTTAATTACTTCTTTTATTTTTGAAATTATAATTATATCATTCTCTCCCTTTCCCCCCTCTCCAAATCCCCCTTTTTCAAAATTATGATCTCTTGGTAATCGTTATTACATGCATATTTATCCCTAAATATAACATGCTCAGTCTATTTGCAACCTGTATGTATGTTCACAGGCCTGACTGTTTGGTACTGGAAGATGAATTGGTGTGCTCTTCCTTGGGAAGACAGTTTCTCCCATGCTTAGCACTCCTTAGTTGCCTTTAGTTCTTCATGCAGTGTTGAGGCCTTATAGGCTTTTCCCCATCCTTGTTCAGCTCATGTTTAGGCAATCATATGAGTAAGACTCCCTGGTTTTATGAACCACACAATGGCTAGCATGGCACAATAGCTCTAACGATGCTGTAGTGGCACACACACCTTGACAGTAACCAATAGCTCTCTAATTAGATTTTAAGACCCACTCAATAAGAAGAAAATCATGCTTGATATCGGAAACCTAGCCAACTACTCAGGGCTAGTGAAGTCACACCACTTTACTAAATCAGTTTAATTCTTAACTACATTCCAAATATTTGCCCTTATACCCACAGGAAAGTGTAACTTTATCCCCCCACACAAAGAAAACCAACCTCATTACAAAAGATGGAGACCACTATAGAATGCCATAACCGATCAAAATGCAGAGGTATGGAGCCTAATCCCAACAGATACATGTACAAAACACTCCTACACCTAGGGTTTAAGGAATATTGCTGTATAAGAAGGGATGGAAAGGTTGTAAGAGCCTAAAAATCAGGGAGATTGCTGTGAGACTGTGTCTTCTGGTACAATCAGAAGCTACATCCATAAAGACTCCTTACTGATTTCTTTCACAGCCACCATGTCTCTGGTGACACCCTCTATTACATTCCTGAGATTGGTGACTTTTATCAGCTTGCAAAAGGATTTGCCAATTTTATTTATTTTTTTCATAAAACCAGGCTTTTTCAGCTGACCTGAACATCAGGGAACTCTTGCTCTCCAGACTGATAGCTGGGATACCAGCATGGGACTGAACCAGACCCCAGGAACATGGGTTTCAGTGAGGAAACCTCAGAAATCTACCAGACCTGCTCTAGTAGTTCAGTAGTTATCCCTAGCTTAGGTGTGGACTTTGGGAGCCCATTCAACATAGAGGGATACTCCCTAAGCAAAGACACACGGAGGTGGGCCTAGGCCCTATTCCAAAGAATACAATAGACCCTGATGACACCCTATGAAAGGCCTCACCATCCAGGGGGAGCAGAAAGGATATGTGATAGGTAGGGTTTTAGTTGGGGGGGGGGGTAGGGGAGGATGAGAGGGAGAAGGGAACTGGGATTGTCATTTAACACAATCTTGTTTCTAATTCAAATTAAAAAATCTGCAAAAAAAAAAAAAAAGAAAGAAAGAAAGAACCAGGGTTTTTTTGTTTGTTTGTTTCATGGATTCTCTGTTTGATTGCCTTTTATTTCATTACTTTCTTCTTTTCTTATTATCCTAGTTCCCTTTTCTGCTTTCTTTGGGCCAATTCTACTCTTCTATCTTCAGTTTTTCAACTGCAGTCCTAAGATTATTCGTCTGAAACCTTTATTTAGAATGTGATCATTTTGTGATACAGAAGTAACCCTCCTCACTACTGTGGTTGCACCTGTACATTTTGTTAGGTTGTATTTTTATTCTCTTTTGGCTATTTATAGTTTGTAATTTTCACTGAGATTTTCCTTTGGTTGATAAAATGCAAAAAAAGGTGTATTTTTAAATTTTCTACATGTCTAGAGATTTGCTTGTCTTTTTACTATTATTTATGATTGAATTCTCTTGTAATTCATCACACTGTCCATATGATTTCATTGACTGCCTACAGTGTGCTCTATCTTGAATTTCTTTAGTGAGCAAAAGAATTAAATAACAAAACTTGTAACATGCAGATGCACGTTCTGTTATGGTTGTGGAGGAGGCAAACTGTCTAGATCCCATTTCTTTCTGTTATTCAGAGATTCTTTAGACTTGCAGACTTTCTCTCCACTAGTTCTGTCCTAATACTTCTAAGAGAAGTGGACGGTGATGCCCCAAAATATAACTGGGATTCCTCTGATTCCTGTGCAGCTCTACCAGTTTTTGCTTCATGAAGAAAACATTGTTGGCATTTCTCCCTAATCTCTTTTTTAAACAAAACCAGAAAGCATCAATCCATATTCCTGGATAATGGGCATTAGATAAAGAATTTGTACACATAATTTATCCTTCCTCACTGCAGAAGAGAAATAGAGCAGTGATTTTAACAAATTCTTCTTAAGAACAGTGCTTATGTATCTATCAGTGTTTTCTGTGTTTTTTTTTCTCCCTCTCACCTGTGGCTCACTGGGGAACAGAGGAGGGAGACAGAGTCAAGACAAGTTTGCCCAGAAGAACACTCTGGAGAATAAATAGCATTGATGTGCAGATATAGTTTGATGTATATGTTCACTGGTATATAAACATATATTATTCAATCAGCTAAAGCCATATGGAGTTACTGTCCAATGAGTCCAAATGTCACACAACCTGCATTAGGTGAGGGAGTACATGGGGTCGGGTGGGGGGGCAGTATGTCCAAGCAGTGTATCTGCAGACAAAGGGCAGGAAGCAGGCAATGCCCTGGGCTTTGGCACCAATTAGAGGGTCTCCAGTTACCTAGGACTTCATTATGAGTTTGAAGACTCATTTGAAAGACTCAAGTCTGTTCAAACAGCCACATGAGGTGATAGCACTTCTCACATTCCTGGTCTTTTAGTGACACCATCAGAACAGAGACTGACCCGCTCCGTGAAACAGAAGCATCATTATATGGTGGTGTCTGTGTATTGAGGCCACACATCAGAATTTGTGGGAAGAATATCTTCTATGATACAACTTCTCACAACTGGAGTACTAAACTTCTTGGTCGTAGTAGGACTCCAGGGAAAGAATAATGGGGTGGGCTGCTACTAAACTTGGGTTGTGCACAAGCTTAGATTAATGGGCATTTTATACTTGAGCATGGTTTGAATGTGTTGGAAAACGTGCTGTTAAAAACAGATGATGTAACATTTTGACACCTGAATAAATGAATAGACTCTACTTACATAAGCTTTCAAACCCAAACAAGCCAAAACTAAATAAAAACCCTCATCATCACCATTGGTATATTGACCATAGATGTGCTCATCTGTGCATAAGTCATTTGCAGATATTGCTCCAAGAAGTAGTTATAAGTAATGTGAGTAATGGTGCTATAGGGGATTTATCTTTCATCATGAGAAATGTCTGTGGATTCCTTAGTGAAGCACAACAGGAGGATAGAATAGTGTGCCTGGGAGGCGTTTCAAATGTAAGCATATCACCACATAAACTAAAGACATGTTTGCATGAAGCATGCACCAAAGTGTAGTTTTCATGAGTTCAGTAACAACTTTACCATAATGAAAAATGGGTTGGAACCTTGATATTTCTCCAATCTACATTTCTGTGACATAAAGCATCTTTAATATTAACTGTGCATCTATTTTATAACCCATTCATTATAATAAAGTTGCTTAATATGCATCATCTACAGTATAAATAATGGCAGTCCTTGTCTTCAAACAACAAAGGTAGTTGTCTTTTAAAACAAACCAATTTTAATAAACTCGGGGATCTGTCCCTGTAGGAACAAGTAAATTTGCTAGACTTATCTAGAATTATTTTCTTTTACAGACCTCCTCTGTGATTGACTGTTTAAGAGCTGCTGTCTTTGGCCTTTCCCCAGGGTTAAAGCACAGCTCTTCCTCAATAATCTCCAAGTCATTTTGCTGGCACAGGTGTTGTTTTCCAGGCAGCTATTGCCAAAGGGCAGCATGCTAATTAACAAGCTTCAGATCTGGAGGGTTCTGGGTCTCACTTCTGACAGCTGATACATGTGTCACACACATAGTTATCCATCTGAAACTGCCTGTGTTTAAAGATTCTCACATTGTAACAAAAGACTGAACACTCCTAAAATTTCTACTCTCTGAGAGCAACTCTTAAATTTAGGGATTATGTCATTTCTTGTAGCACTATGAAGCTCTAGTGTCTACAGCACTTGCCATTGTATTTCAGGAGTCACTCTTTTCATGATACCAAGCCCTTAAAGCCAACTATGCTATATATCCCAAGTGAGAAAACATTACTATTCAACCTTCACATTTCCTATTAAAACTGGCACTTTCACAGTGTTAAGACTTGAGAAGGCATGTATCCTCATGATAGGAGATGTAGAATATAGGAGGCTTCAGTAGTCTTCAGGCTAGTTTTCTAGAGAACAAAGTTTTTTAGACATCAATCAGATGCTCTAAGCATAGTATGTAAAGGTACAGAAATAGTCACACCAGTTCTTAGAGTAGGTTACTCTACAGTGCTTCTCTCTGACATCTGTTCTGATGTTTTAGGAGTTCGTGATGATCGTTGTCTTTGGCTTGGAGTTCATCATTAGAATCTGGTCTGCAGGCTGCTGCTGTCGTTATAGAGGATGGCAAGGAAGACTGAGGTTTGCTCGAAAGCCTTTCTGTGTTATAGGTAAGTATCAAAGTCTCCAGATTTATGGTACTGCATATTTTCTTCTCCTCTTGCTTTACAACATTCAGGTGATATTAGAAGGGCAACACCCAGGAATTACTGACTGTGGACGCGCTCTCTCTCTCTCTCTCTCTCTCTCTCTCTCTCTCTCTCTCTCTCTGTGTGTGTGTGTGTGTGTGTGTGTGTGTGTGTGTGTGCATGTTAATTAGCTCTACAATATACCATGAGGTATATCATTCAAATGGGCATTCATGTTAGTAGCACCCTCTAGCATACATGGAGGTCACGGTGTGGCTTATGCTCTGAAAACTTTGTCTGACCCTGAGTTCTACGCTCTGAAATATGTTTCACCCACCCACAGTTCCTATACAAAGCAGACTTTTTCATTGTCCCTAGCTTCTGTAGTTCTAAGGGGGACTTCATTCTGTTGAGACTCACTTTGAAATTATGCCTCCCGATGAAGATGCTGTAGAGCCCTGTGGAGTCATGACCTGGCATCCCTTAGTATTTTATTGAAAATCATATCTTAAAACTGAAAACCCTCCATATCAAAACTATTATTAGGTAGCTCAATTTGGTTTTCCTGCTTTTTTGCCTTTCTTTCTTGCTAAGGAACCATTAAAATCCAAATGTTGGAAGTTCTCCTGGGTGAGGCTTACTCCAATTATTTCCAAGCTGAGAAAGGGGGATTTAATTTACAAGATAATTTACTCTCTTGTTTGAGGAGTTAGGAATTGCTGAGTGATCCCTTTGATCACATCCCTTAATCTTTGTCCTCGTTGTGAGTGGGGAGAACAACAGAGTGCTTTCAAGCAGTAGAGTTCTACCTCTTCAGGCTTTGCTAACACCAACCTCTCTCATCTGGAAACCATCATGCTCAGGTATAGAGAAAAGCAAATGGCTTCTTACAGCCCCACAGAGCAAGACAGTGAGCATTTGACTTCCCACCCCCCCCACCCCCTGTGACTTTCTCATTCTGAATTCTTTACTCAAACAAGGATATGAAGGATTGTCACGAAGTGAAACTACTGCAAAACAAGGACTCTCTGCCCCATGAAAGACCCAAACAAAACAATTCACAAGGCAGGTGGTTGGCCAAGATGCACTCAACTTCTACGTTCATGGACGACTACAGGGGTGTCCCAATCCAGATTTTAAAACTAATTAAAATGTGGTTGCATTCCCATTCCAAGCGCAATGGCAATGCCAATGTATTTCTGCTCTTGAGCGTAGAAAGAAAGTTCTGTCCCAGATGCCTGCTGCCTCTTAGTAGCTCTTTCCAGCCATGGATGCATCAGCACATGGTAGCCCCTTAATCTTTCTCTGTCTGCCTCAGCTCTTTGAAGGTCTTGCTTGGAAAATAATGTTCTGTTCTCTGTCACCTCACTTGACTCAGCGCACCTATCAGTGGTGACCTTGCAGATTTAATATGGTATGATAATGACGTTATTTGGAATTTGTTAACTTCAGGGGATTTTTGTTTAATTAGAGATTTAACATCTAGAAAAATAACTGCTTTGTAAGTTGTCATGGATAAATATATAATGAATTCCCATTAGAGCATAGATCAAATGTTCACTTGCAGTGAAGGTAATCGTGTGTGACTTTTGGCATTCTGCTTAGTGTCCATGTGACAGTTTGATCTGTGTTTCAACTGAATTGATATAATAGTGAAATATTCAAATGTGGCTTATTAGTTTTAGATCCCTGGATTTATCCTACACAGATGAATCAAATGTTACCTATTGAAGGCAAGGGCTGTGCCACACCATTGTTGAGATTCTTCCTAGATCTTTTTAGTGGTCCATAAAAATGCTGTATAAACTGGTAAAAATAATAAAGTAAGCCCTATAGTCCCCTTGGTCAACCAAATTAACACTGCTGAATGCAAAATGGAATACTGCACCTTTCTCATCTATCTGTAACATGTGTTCTGAGCAGGAAGAAATCTAAAATATACCAAAACTTATTAATTCTTGATATGTTTGAAAGATTAGACTACTCTGGATATGCCAGATACACACTCAATTTTTTTTTGAAATCTTGAACATTTAAGAATAGAATGTGCAAAGGATGACAGCTCACCTGATATACCTTCACTATTGGAAATGTTCTCTCTGGGCACACTGTCCTAGGTAGCGTTAGTTATCAACTTGACACAGCCAAGTTATCTGGTAGCATCTCCATTGAAGATCACCTCCATCAGATTGTCCTATGACAATCTGCAGGGCATTTTCTTGATTGATGTTTGATGTGGGAGGACCCAGCTCGCTGTGGGTGATACCCTGTGCAGGTGGACCTGGGTTGTGTAGGAAAACAAGCTGAGAAGGAGAGAGCAAGCCAGTAACCAGAGCTCTTAGATGGTTCTTCTCCAAGTTGTTTGTAGTCAGTGTTTTATCACAGCAATTGAAAGCAGACAAAACACAACAAAGTTGTCACTTCATATTGCAAGCAAACAGAAGCTAATACCATGGTCATGCTTTGCATAGCATCCTTGTTTACCAACCAGTAATATCTGGACACTATTTAATAGAGGTCCCATGGGCTGATTCCAAAGACTGACATTTCCTCCTTCAGAACCACCAATCCTCTATTAATTAAAGTGATCATACCGTCATTACACACTTGTTTTTGGAAAATATATCATAAGTGCTTAACTCTAAAAAAGTTTGTGTTTTTTAAAAAAAATTAATGTTTTCTTTCATTACTATTTGGATGTACAATTGTCTGTAGAATTGTAAAACTCATTACCCCTACATGTCTAACCAGCTCCATCCCTGTGACTCTGCTGTGAAAGCTTTGGCAAACCCCTACCTTCCTACCTCAGAGACTTAAAGCACATCTGTAGTACCTACCTGGGTCGGCTCCCTGGTGACTTTTCTGTATGCCAACATAAACCCTGCCTTCTGTAACATGAGTAGTGAGATGTGTGAATCACCCCCAAGGACTGGTAACACAGCCGTTCTTTTTTGCCCAGCGTTTTCTTAATGGCCTACTTGAGAATCGCAAATAGTATCAAATGCTGCTACTTAGACTGCAGTAATGAGCCTGATCTTTCGGGCAGCCTTAACTTCAAATAGGAGCTATTTTTTGATTCCTTGGTGAGTACTTTGAAAAACAGTCATAACAGGGCTGTAATTTTTTTCAGTGTGTCTCAGTGCAGCAGAAAATGCCAGCCTGTTATTAATCTTGTATCTATATTTGATGTTAAATGTAGGTTGATTTCCTATCGTTGTCTTAACAGTTTCCTGTGGCACTTCCACAGGAGAACCAAGGGGGTAAACCACAGCTCAGATATTTCCCAACAACTAATCATGTCTGTATTCCACTTGAAGTAACAGCTCCTCAGGAGTGTGCCAGCAAGTGTGTGTATTTTTTTTTATTAGAAAATGTAGCCAGCTTCTTACTTGGCTCAAAGAAAATGGAAGACTTTATTAGAGTCAACCACATGACTAAGTCTATTCAAATGCATGTGTGAATTCATCACATTATAAGGCAAGTTGTTAATGCGTTCACAAATTAGAACAGAAACTCTGAGAAACACCACTGGCTTGCAAACTAAAATTTTTTTTCCTGCATCTTTACCATCTCCACCTTTTACTGGCATAGACCTATCTTGACCTGAACCTTCAAAGCTTTTATCACCTTTAATAGAAACTCATTCCCATAGGCTATTGCTTAACAGTCATGTATTCTGCAAATTCTCACAACATTCATTCTCTTCTGGAACATGTAGTTTCGTTCCTATGCTTAATTAAGGACAGCTAAAACCTACTTAATCAGACAATTAAAAGGATTTCAATATCTTTCTAGTAGCATTATTTACTGAAAACTATTACACGCTACCCACTGTTCCAAGTACCTTATAAATATTATATTATTAGTATTACATATTATAGTATACTTGTGAATTTTTTATTATTATCTTTTTGTGTGTGTAACTTGTTTTGCCTTCATGTATGCCTGTATACCACATGCATGCCTAATGCTACAGAGTCCAGAAAAAAGGGCATTGGATCCCCTGAAACTGGAGTTATAGACAGTTGTGAGCCACCAAGTGAGTGTTGGGAATGAAACTTCGGTGTTCTTAATTACCAAGCAACCGCTCCAAACACTAATACCCCATTTTCCACATGAGGAAGTAAGACAGTACTTAGCAAACCTTGCAAAGCAAGAAAGAAGGCAAGAAAACAAAAATAAAGATAGGATTCTTTTCATATGGCTCTAGAAAAAAATGATCCTCTTTTGACATTTACTGACAATTTAAAATTAAACTTGGTTAAAATTTCTCCATCATCATCAACTGATGTCCATCATTAGAAATTCAAAAAGCCATGGCTTATAAAATCACATTAATATTAAGATAAGCTTCATTTTTAACAACTACACCTATTGCTGCTCTCTGGCTTGAAGGAGAAATTAGGGAATAAACAGATTTCTGTGCTGAGTATCTACTTCTTGCACTTTTAAGTAATGTTATTCTGAGGGTCCCTGGGTATTTGCAAATTGGAGGCGCCTTCTAGGATAAATAGTCTCATTCCCAGGAATGCCTCTAGCTGTTCATTAACAGTATGGTGGTTGCTTAGACAATGGTTGATGTGGTATGCAAGCTTGACTGATAAGGAAACATAAAATGCTATTATTTGACTGTACAGAAAGTATTCTAAGAGGGAAATGAAAAACTGAAGATGTTTCCCACTTATTCTATAAACTTTAGTAGACCCCATGACATATTTTACTAATATTATTTGTATCTTATGTTATATAAGAAAAAATCAAAGACAGAATACTTATGTGCTAGACACACTCAGTACAAAAGATGCAAATATGAATACAAATAGTCCCTACCTGTAAGATTACAGTCTCATGTATCGTTAGAAAGGGGAAAGCCAAAAGGAAATTGAAGAGTTATAGGAAGAATGATACAGACTGTCATGACTCACTGCATAAGACAAAGGAGCAAAGATCGCCTCTGGCTTGAAATTTAGTCATCCAGGAAA